TTTTTGTCTGTATTTTGACCTGAAACAAATAAACCTGGTGATAAAAAATAAGTATCAGGTAATGGTTTACTGGTACATGTATAACAAATCACTCCCTTGCTTCCTTTGGTATTAGGAGAGGGGAGAGAGAGACTGCAAAGGAGCAGCATTAAATGGGTTACAAAGCTAGGAAGCTAGAATGCAAGAACAACAAAGAAAAGAGATTTGGGGAAACGAAGCAAGGGATGGAGGCTATAAAGCAAGACTGGGGGCAACAAGCAAGGGTATGAACAAGGGGACAAAAAAAGGAGCACAAACATCCTAACAAGGAGAAGGAGCAAGTGGCTCTATCAGTGCACCATGATTGTTTGGGGAAAAAATAGGATAAAATTTTTGTAAACTAAAGATTGTAAACAAAGATTGACAAAAAATTGAAGTCCAACAATGTTTAAAAATAAATTGTTGAATTGGTAGACCTACCCCTGGCCTGACACATGTACTCAGCTATCAGTTTTCTCATAACAATGTCAGCCTGGTGAATGACGTTCTCACTACAGATTTGTCTGTCTATCTCTTTAGAAGTTTGATCCATTTCCTCCATTACCGGCACAGATGGATCTGATAAGGCCTTTGATATTAGCCCCAACACTTGATTTGCTGAACTGAAATTTTAAACAAAATATTTGCATGTATTTTTCTTTACAGTTAAAATTCTGAAAAAATACCTTGTTATACATGTACAGCTAAAGGTGCGGAGAGAGAGAGAGAGAGCTCTTATTGAGGCCCAATCCTAACTGAGTAATAAAATATAACTCAGAATTCATGATTTGAAAAGAAAATCTTTCTTATGTCCTGAAGCGTTTACATGAGATCTTTTCTAGTTCAGTGGTTCTAACTTTATGGTGTTAAAACCAAAGCAGAATGGCAGGGGCTTTACAAGATGTAATATACAGTGGACCCTCATTTATCCGGACGCTTTGGTTTCCAGTCAATTTGTCCGGATATGTGAAGCATCCGGATACCTGAATCACCAGTCAAACAAGACAGAATAACATTTTAAAATTTCGTTCTGATGAAAAATCGTCCGGATACTGAAGCATCCGGATATCTGGCGTCCGGATATCTGAGGGTCCACTGTATATTACATAATTTTATATAGATGGGATATATAATCAATTCCATTGAAGTGTACCCTTTTGCATTAAGTCACAACCTATTTTGACAGCTGTGCTCAGTAAATTGTACGAGGGGTGATCAAAAAGTTCACGAACAAATTGAACAACTTCCTTAAAACAAATAGAATTAGGTTTAAGTGTTCATTATTTTTTAAAAAAGCCCTCTCTGATTTTAATGCATATCTGCAAGCGTTCTACACATGCGCGAATCACGTGATCCAGGGGGTCACGTGACATGCCCTGAAGCATTTTGTTCATAGACGCTAAAATATTTTTCCAAGTCTTGTATTTCTTACCATGCAAGTTGATTTTTATAACAAGAACGATCCATTCGTCAGAAATGACCAAATCTCGGAGATAAGATGGTTGGATAAGGATATCCTTTCCCAGAAAGAAGATGGTGACCATCATAACCCGATATCTCTGTCTTAGGAACGTTGTTTATCAAATATAGATTTAGTCATACGGGGCCTTCTTTTTATCATATTTGATATGTTAAAAGTTAAAATTAAAAGATATTTTAGGGATTTAATAATAATAATATTGTTAAGATATTCAATCTTTTTTTGAACTGTAACTTTGCAATCTTTCATGACAAATTGCCTAACAAAGGACACATCTCTTCCCCAGTTTGCTTTTGCTGGCTGTACAAAACAAACGTCATTTCTAACCATCTCCCTCCCTTAACCAAAACAATCAATCCAATTTATGATTTTACGTCTGGAAAGTCTATTTTCTTCATAAACCTTGTACAAATTATTAGAAGGTACTTTAAAGGAATTTCCACGTTATACGTTAAACTTTACAGCCGTTCGTTGATCGAGTAAGACCGAGACAACCATTTTTCGTCACAAGTAACCTGCATATTGCTTCATTTTCACACTGTGACGTCACAATGATGAAGAAAATCAATACTTTTCATATGCTATTTATAGAGCATGTGCATGACTATAGGTGTGTCAAATTTCATTCTGATCTGAATCGTGGTTTTGAAAATATAGAGACAGTATGAGAACTTTTTGATCACCCCTCGTACAAGCCTTCTAACTGCAAGCTTCATGATTGGTACTTTCTTCTTATCCCTGATTGGTTTGCTTGTGCAATAAACTATTTCAGGAAAAAAAACAAACAAGAAACATCAATCTTGTAGTTAGTAGGTGTGTTCCATTTACCTTGAGCGCAGCTGATTAAATAGGTTGTGATGTACCGTAATGCAAAATGGTACACTTCACTGGAATTGATAATAAGATGACTATACTACTTACTCTTCTAATGCCTCTGAACTCACATTGGTGTTTATTTTGATTGAGTACTTCTCCCAGCTATTTTGTTCTAGGTCAGGGGCTTCAAATCTGGCTGCCATATTGAGAATGACATCCTCAGGGACTTGTCCGAAAGAACGCTGTCTGTTTCTGATCAATGCCAAATCAGTGTCACATTCGATGTGTACCTGACAAAACCCAACCTTGTCTGCCAGAAAAAAAGGAAGAAAAATCATTTTCATGCTTTCAGTTTCTTTATAGATTTGGAACAAATGTTACATATTTTCACAAATGGCTAAAGAAAATTCTGTTACAGAGCATTAACCCTTTCACAATAACTGCAGTACTTCTCCTTTGCAGGGCGCATTAATGATGTTTTATAGAGTTTTTGTCGATAGATAATTTTGCCCTGCAAAAGAATAGTACTGAAAGGGTTTATAGTTTGAAAACTTACATTTCCTAGTAAGCCGATAATACTTGTATCTCATACTGCTATAATACATATTGTCATCAATAAGTATCACAACTGCACCATTTTTCTTTCCAATCATTCTCTGCAGAAATGTCCTAAAACTTTCAAAACAGCAATCACTTTTATCTTCCATTGGCTCTGTAAACTCAGAGTCTGCTTGCAGTCTCTGTATAAGGTAAACGACTGCATTCTGAATATTTTCTCTGTATAGCTTCCAAGCATTTGGCACCTACAATGGAAATTTGCAGGTATTTAACAATAATTCACACTGAATAAAAAAATGACTTAAGTTTACATAATTTAACCTGATATACCGTATACCGGTAAGTAGAATTTTTAGTGAGGATTTAATTTTGGCATTATTAGCTAGGGTGCTAAGATCGCTAAAATTGAATATCGCTAAAATTTAGTTGCATTTTATTCATAAAAGCTTCATTAGTGAGCATTTTAAAACCACTTAAATTTATCGCTGAACATATAATACCAATTTTTATACAGAATCACTAAATTTGCTTCTCACTAAAATTTCCACTTATATGCTTTTAAGTGCAAATTATATTTTTCAGACCTCATACCTCTTTTTCAATTATATGTTTCTCTGTATCTGAAGGAATTATATCATCATATGATACCAACATCCAATCGAAGGACTCTGCATTTTTCTCCTGTTCTTGTCCACTCCCTGCTGTGTTAATTGTTTGATTCCTTAAAAGGGTTTTCGCAAAAGTAGATTTTCCACTCCCAGGAATTCCACATAGGACAGCAATACAGACATCCAGCATTGTTTGACAAAATATAACCTATAAAATCAAATGCAATATCTTATTTAAATTTGAACAAAAGGTTGAAAATATAATTTATATTAAAATGTTGCCTTTTACACTACAAAATAGAAATACACTTAATTGAAATTATTCAACGGTCACATATTGAACCAGCTGACAGTACTTGTTGGTTACATGCATGTGGTTTATTTGATATCCTCACATGCCAACCACATCAAGCCAACCTAGAAAGACTGATACACCCGATTTGACTACACTATTGTTGTTAAGTATCATTCAGAAGTCATTTTAATAATTTATATGATTCAGGCATGATTTTACTTGAAGAAAAAACCTGAGTAATTAAAACAACGTTGAAGCATAATTGTTATGACCAAGAAGTACTGTAAGCAACTGCATACATCATAAAGATATTTTAATGCCTTAAAATGTCTCACTCTGATATTACTTTGCTACTGACTGTTGTTTGCTTTATTTATAAATCTGCCCATTCCTGTGCAACAAGCCCAACTTGCTTTACAGTTATATTCTTTAAAAAAAGTATGCCCCTCTGTTTACATTTACACCCCCCTCAGTTTAGCTTAGGGATTTATATACCACATGATTGTATTTCTTAAATCCCTAATCTAGCTAGTATCATGCATTCATGATTTTTAAAAAGGAAAAAAATAAATCTATAAAAAAATCAAAGGTAAAGAAACTCAGACTCAATACAATCAAATAAAAAAGGCATTAAAATGGTAATGAACTTGTAAGAATGATATAGATACATGTACACTGTAAATAACAGCTAGAATGTAAGCCACTAGCCACTTTGATCAGTTGATCTGCACTGTGTATAGTAGATAGAATGTTCTATCGTTAAAATGATATTGTCCTACGGACCCGGTTTAACCGAGACACAGTTAGATTATTCTAACTATGTGTATAGCTGTTACTTTCATCAATATAAGCTGGTAAATATACATGTAAGTATTTCATTTTGTTTGTTTTTTGTTTGCATGTACCTGTATAAAAAATTCTCATCAAAACAAACCTATGTCATTTTTTAGCAACACCGTCTGCTGTCTTACTATTCTATTGCTCTGTTTACTTTAGGTCAATGGGTGGACATGGGCGCAGCCATTGTGACCTTTGACATTAGGATCCGCACAAAATGGAACAAAATGAATAAAATGGTGTCGTTTTCTAAAAATATTACTGAAATTTATACGTTTTGTTTACCAGAGAAATTAAAATGATTGAAGAAAATATTTTTCAGAAATAGTGTTGCAAATCTATCCAATCAAATAGCAACAATTTTTTGGTTCAATGATGATGACGTCACATACACCTCACATGGTCAATGGCGAAGTGTGGTCGTTGGCATTTCACCACATAAGAAAACAAAAAGGAAGCGTAAAATTGAATCAATTGGACATCAGAAAGGAAAAATCGTGAATCAGGGAGTCCTAAATAATTTTCTGGTATTCTTTGACTGCTTTTTAAGCAGGCGGGTTACGATTTATTCCCGCCATACGGTAAATTGTTAATCTTAGTCGAGTGTCACAAACATGGCATCGAATGGTGTAGACGGAGAAAGCAGTGCTGATCGAAATGTAGAGATATGGAAGATCAAGAAGCTTATCAAAAGCTTGGAAGCTGCAAGAGGGTAAGATATTTACTCATTCTCATTTCTTGACGAAGAATATTAAATTTAAAACTGGACTGACCCTGTTTGGTCTGGATTTTTAAACTTTTGACTTTTTCATTTGAAGTGTGATATATGTTACTAAAGTCGGATGAAATTATGAAATTAAAATTCGATCGAGTAAAATGTGTCACATCTTCAATTCGAAATTTGAGAAATTTCCACTTTGAATTGAAGTACATTTATATAAATTAGATATGTAAAGATTTTTAATTATTACAAAATAAACCACTTCAATACATTTAATGATTATCAATCCAAAAGCGCAGTAAATCCTTTTCTTTGTTAATAGATAGTAGAAATATTTTCAAATACTGTAAAACTAATTTTACAGAAATGGTACGAGCATGATTTCATTAATCATTCCACCAAAGGATCAAATCTCCAGAATTGCCAAAATGTTGGCTGATGAATTTGGAACAGCATCCAATATCAAGAGTAGAGTAAACCGCTTGTCTGTTCTGGGAGCCATTACATCTGTACAACAGAGGTTGAAGCTCTACAACAAAGGTAAAACTAAAAGGAAAAGAAAAGAATTGTAGGGCTGTCCCTAAGATCTGGGGGCCAGGTAGTTTCCCACGAATAAATGATATTCTGGGATTTCCCCAAACCCCTTTCTACTTTTTTAACGTCTCCTGCAATTTCTATTGTCAGGGACATGCAACCCTTATAGGGACATAGAATTGTTTCATGAAGAGACAGCGTTTTTTTTCCTTATATAACTGGTACCGATAAACGGCACCATTCCCAGTGCCAAAAAACGTTAATTTTTCCCAATTCTTTGACTAAAACTTCCCAATTCAACTGTGATGCAACAGACTACGATGACATCGTATTTCTTGTTAAATGAAACATTGTACAAGTGACTATTAGTAATTGTTTTACTTCCGCTTAAATCAAAAGTAGAGAAAGTCGTAATATGGCGGGACCGGTGGTTTAGACAGCGTAGTGCAGGGATCACTTTGGGCTGCGCCTTTGCGCCATTGGCGCTCAATATTTGTAAATGGCGCACTAAAAAATTAGAAAGGGGTCAGTCTGGCGCATGTCTTACAGATATGGCGCTATAAGATGCAAAACTGTGGGTCAAAACTCTTATCTTGGTGCATTTTAGGACCGTTTTTAAGCTGACCGATTGTATTCATGACGTATCTGAGCATACTGTTACTTCGTTCAATCAGACTCTTTGTAGTCGCGTATGTTCTTTACACCAGCAGAGCGTCTGGTTGATCAAGACTAAAATCGGAGTTGTACATGGAATATTTCCTTCGTTTAGATTACGCTTATAGAAATTTTTTACCGAATACTGAGTCAATTATATTTATTAAAATGATATGTAATGATTTAAATAATAAACATATGAAAGTATTACTCCAGTAAGTAATATGTCCTAAAAATATTTCTTAAAACTTTGATTATTTATTTCGAAACAAAATAAGTACAAGTTACTCATTGTGTATCCAGACACTTGCCCGAAATGCCTCCAAAGCGAAGATCGGTATTGGGCCAACTGACCCAAAACAACGAAAGCTTTCGTTTGTTTTACAAATAAAACGACGGAAACTTTTCAATTCCCAGACTCGGCAGAGGTCTCTGATTAAGAAGAACAGTCCAAGACGTTGACTCCTGATGTCAACGTCAACGATGGTCGTCATTTCCAGTCCAAGTGGCTAACTTTGCATCCGTGGTTGGAATTAGATCAGATGGGTCTAAAATGTTTTGCAAACGAATAAAAATTTTCTCATTTAAGTTTTTTGCGTATTTTGCTCCGAGTTCTTTGCATACAAAACCAGTCCCTACCATTTGAACCACCTGCCCAAGGTAAATTCAGTAGAGAAATGTGCATGTAAGTTTGCATCCTTTATAGTTTAGCTCTTCAACAACCTTCGAGAACTAATTCGATAAAATCCAAGGGGCGAGGAATTAACTCTCCAATATGATATTTTTCAGTACTGAGATGAAATTAAAAAAAAATCTTTTACATTTATAATATTGATTTTATTTTAAAAAAAAAATTAAATTGGTTGTGTCAGAAATGGCATTTAAAAACCCTCAAAGACCCATCATATTTACTTGAAATTCATCACAAAATAGCATGGAAAATCAATTTTTCCCGGGGGGCTTCGCCCCCCTGGACCCCCTACCGGGGCGTTGCCCCTGGACCCCAATGGGGGCCTAACGCGGCCCCCATACCCCCGGCGTATGGCCCATGGATTTTAATGTTGATGGGCCTTTGGCCCATCAACATTAAAATCCAGAGTGATCCCTGGTAGTGTCATACATTTTGACAAATTGAAAGCATGAAAATGTGAAAACATGGGAGATTGATATAAAAAGCAATAAGTACTTGTTGCTTATTCTTTAAAACAAGGAGTAATAGGTAATTAATTTGGAATAAACGCAAAATATGTTGCATTTGCATAAATGAGAGAAATTTCTCCTGTTTTTCTTCTATGTTATTTATCCCAATTGAACCGGTACCAGACCCTTTCCCAATGGGTGGAAAGAAATCGCTGAGAGAAGAAAATAAAAATCAAAGGAAATGTCAAGGAAATAGTGATTTGAATAAGATGTAATCATTGTTTCACGTTCATCAGAAAATTATGGCCAGACCATAGCAACTGACTGTGAATTACGAATATGTAGTTGATTATACTTAATACTTGAACTTATATGGTTTCTAACAATTTTAACCAACTCCTTTTCTGCTGATTGCACCAATTAAAAGTGATACAGAATGCACTTTACTTAAGGGTTTCTAATAATGATTTTCCTTTCACATTGTACACTTTAAAAATCTGCAGATGGACCCTCAAAATGAGTATTGCAGCCCTTAAATGTTTGAGTTAGGTCTGTAAATGATAGTATAGAACCTCAGGATTTATGAATACTTGCTCACTGAATTACAAGGCTACAGTCTTTTATCCCACACCTCTCCCTCATTTTTTCCAGTTTGTTGAAGCCAAAATACATAGCAGTGTGATAGTTATGACAAGAACACACTAAGAAGGTTGACTTTCTGATGTATCCTGTACTTCTCCCTTTTTTAGTTCCACCCAATGGATTAGTGATATACTGTGGTACCATTGTCACAGATGAAGGCAAGGAGAAGAAAGTGAACATAGACTTTGAACCTTTCCGGCCCATTAATACATCCCTGTATCTATGTGATAACAAATTCCACACAGAGGTTAGTAGTTAAGGCAGGGATTTCTTTATTTGGGTCAACCTAGAGAAAGCTACTCAGTAGAAACTCCATTTCTGCAGCAAAGTCATATGTGATTTTATGTAAAAGTCATTTTATCATGTGTTTGCTTCATTGCACAGTGGATGTGGCTCATAAGATATAGTTTTAAGATCTACAATGGTTTATATGTTTAATTGATCAGACAGTCAAATTATGCGGAATTACATGTATAAAACTGTAAATCATGAAATAGCTTGATGTAAAATTTATTAAAAAGAATTCTTTGTGATTAGATGTTTTTTATCCATCTTATTGTGTGTTTTTATCCCCACATCAAGACTCTAGGATAATAACACACAATTGAAGTAAAAAGTTGTACCCATGCAAGACCAACCATAAACCATGGGAAATCCTATTTTAATCTATTTGCATAAATTAAAAGCTAATTTAACATGGAAGTATGTGTCATTACATCAGTAATCTTAAGATATATGTAGATAGGTAACATTAAGGATAAAACTTTTTTCTTGTTATTCCTCTTTTCTTAGATTTTCTCTTTTATGTTGTAGGCATTGACAGCATTGTTAGCGGATGACAACAAATTTGGTTTTATTGTGATGGACGGTAATGGAGCATTGTTTGGAACTTTATCAGGAAACACGAGAGAAGTCCTACACAAATTCACAGTTGATTTACCCAAGAAACACGGTAAAATTTTTATCTGGTTTCATTTCCCTGGATGATCCCTCATAGAAATAAAAGGGGTTGTTAAGTGTCATAGTCAATAGAAAATAAGAATTGGAAAAGATAATAATTAAAAAATATTGTTAGGAAAGAGGAAATGTTACATAAGGATTAAATTCAATTAGAAGTGTATGTGTGGAGAAAAAAGTCAATTTTTTATGAGAGGGATAGAAATGTTCTTGCTTACTTCATTTACTTTAAAATCAGGGGCTATGAATAGTTCATCACCTTTTTCTACATTTCAGGTAGAGGAGGTCAGTCTGCACTGCGTTTTGCCCGTTTACGTATGGAGAAACGTCACAACTATGTCAGGAAAGTTGCAGAAGTTGCTGTACAGCTGTTCATTACCAACGACAAGCCAAACATTGCTGGGCTAGTATTAGCCGGATCAGCCGATTTCAAAACGGAACTCAGTCAATCAGACATGTTTGATCCAGTAAGTTTTTCTGGTCTTTTGACTATCAAGGATTTAAGCTTATCAAATAATTTAGCAGTGTTTTCCCCAAGAACTGCCTACCAGCCAAATTGACCACTTAAGTTGATAAAAATATGTTATACCACTCTGTCAAAAAAAAGTCAGATTTGATTGTAAAGTCCATAGGAATTTGTTCATAAATGTCAACCCAAAGCCTGTAAGAATTGATTTTTACTTTAAAAGAAAGAGAAAACACTGATTTAGTAAGACAATGATCCATTATGAGATATTGTTGCTAAATGAGTGTGTAATGTAAATGAGCGTGAGATGTTAAATGCTTCTGAGATCAAACCATAGTATAGGGAAGTTTAATATAATAACATTACTTCACACAGAGATTACAAGCCAAGATCATCAAAATTGTTGATGTATCTTATGGAGGAGAAAACGGTTTCAACCAGGCCATTGAACTAGCGACAGATTCTCTCGCAAATGTGAAATTCATACAAGAAAAGAAACTCATAGGTATGGAACCCATTACTAAGAATTGTAAATTACGTGTAAAATTTCATGTTGAAATAAAAAGTATAATCAGGCCATCCTTAAAAAATTGTTTGTTTGGAATTGCCGCCTCAGGGGTTTCAGACACAGGAGGGAGGGAGGGAAATTATTTTTTTTAAATTGAAGATAAATTTTTGATAAAAATCTCAGTAAACAGTAAATACATTTTCTGACTTTTAAAAAAGTATCTACCAACAAAAAAACCTAATTTTAAATAGATCTGACACTATATTTCAGTGTTTTGTATAGTGCATGTAATACTTGTAATGGAAAAAAAAATTGATTAAATAAAAAAAAATCTTCCTACTTTTGGTCAATAAAATTTTTTCAGGAGGGGGCATTTCAATGAGGCGGGAGGCAATTCCAAACAAACTATAATTTTATTTTGGCCTCATTAAGTTTTAATCAATTTTAATTGATTGTAGGTCGTTACTTTGACGAGATCTCACAAGACACAGGGAAATATTGTTTTGGTGTGGACGATACTTTGAAGGCATTAGAAATGGGAGCCGTGGACATTCTAATCGTCTGGGAGAATTTAGACGTCACAAGATACGTGCTGAAGAATCATGCTACAGATGGTAAGATAATGGCCAATGTAACTTAAAGGTACTTGGACACAGATTTGAAGTCATTTTTTTCTCTATAATATAACGAATTATATATCTTAATAGCATTTCACACAAAAATTGATTAAAAATCTTATTTCATTTAAAAGTTATTAAAACTTCAATTTTTTTGGCGGGTTTGATTGACACATCCTTGCACTTTTATAATCTTAATTTTACTCTTAATACTTAGGAAAAGTGGCAATCTTGTTGTGCATGAATGAAAAATATTAATACTACAATCCAGAAAATTCAGAGTAGACATGTTTGAAAGCAAAATAAACACACAATACATTCTCAGTCCGTGCAGTTGTGGTGAGCAGACTTTGACAATTGAACGCACCCGGTGAAATCAAAACATCAACAAAAACAGAGTTCTTGCCTTGTTTACAAAAACTGTGTATATAACACGAGTGTGATCGATTTGCACACACGACTTAGCTCGGAATGACGATACTTGTGAAGGGGTTTTGCTTTCTAACATTTCTACTCCGAATAAAATTATTTTTCTGGATTAAAGTTTTAATATGTCTCATTAAAACACAACAAGATTGCCATTTTTCTGAAGGATTAAGAATAAAATTAAAATACGTGAAAGTGCAAGGATGTGTCAATCAAACCCGCCAAAAAATTTGAAGTTTTAATAACTTTTGAATGAAATAAGATTTTTAATTAATTTTTGTGTGAAGTGCTAATAAAATATATAATTCGTCATATTACTGTGTAGTATACAGAAAATATTAACTTCAAATCTGTGTCCAAGTACCTTTAAAATATGCCGCAACCCAAGTGAGAAAAATGACCTAGTTTTCTGTCAGTTCACTTCTGTAATCTAATGCAAGCAGTATCTAAGTCAAAGCAATGTAATTTTTTATTGACGTGCATTTCAGCGTATGTATTATCTTTTAGTTATAAAAGCGAAAGTATGTTCAAAAGTTTTTCTGTAGAGAATTCAACCTTGCTACACCTCCAAAGAAAGCATTTACCTACACATTTTTTTCTCATTTTTTTCAGTGGAGAATATTCTTTTCCTTCGGCCTGAGCAAGAAAAAGACAAAACCCACTTTATAGATAAAGATGTAAGTATTGGATAGCAATTTATAAGATAGTATTATATACCTGTACATTTTCTTTAATATTATTTCTGAAAACTGCTCAGGTACTTTTTTGCCTCTATAAGGGAAGCAAAATTAAAAATTTTGTTGCAGTTTCCTTTAGTCTTAGCTATCAGAAATATACACAAGTATGAAATTATTGCATTCAGACCATTTCATGTAACTAATTGAAACAAAAAATTATTTACTGTATTCTCAAAGCTGCATATAGTTTGACCATTTTTGAACATATTAGAAAAACGTGATGGCAAATCATAGATGCGTAATGTAATACAAAGATCACTGTTTCTTTCAAATCATTAGGAAGTTATAATTCTGGTGTATAATTATTTAAGTGAAATCAATGCTTATACACCATGAAAAATAGAGGTAAGATTGAAAAATACTGGCTGGAAAATTTTGCTCCCAACTTATATATAAATTTCTTTCAATCTCTCAAGATCAACATATATCTGAGAGAAATTTTTTTCAAACAGTATTGAAAACAAGTGTGTTTGAGACATCCCATATAGCCTTTATTTTTGAAACGGTAATGTAAATGTATAATTGCGCAGCTTGCGCATGCTTTGCAGGTATATTTAAATAAAATGTGATAAACTTCTTTGTAGACTGGTGTAGAATTAGAATTGGCAGAGCAGATGCCCTTATTAGAGTGGTTCGCTAATAACTACAAGAATTTTGGTAAGTACAGGGGGTAGAAACTCCCTAAAATTACAACTCACAAATAAATGCGAGTACCAAATAAATGATCTTGCAATTTCAGAAGACAGCTCACAATTTTAAAATGAAAGCTTTTTAAAAATAAATATCTTTCTATCAATCTATTCAAAAAAAAATTCCTAATTTCTGACATGATCAGTGTGTATGCCTAAAATGGGTTGAAACTGATATTTTTTCCAAGGTGAAATTTACAATGAAAAAGTCAACGTATATAGTGAATTTCGAACCCTGAAGTATCCTTTGAGAGTTTTAGCAATTATTTGTGGCTATGCTACATGATGTGTTAAATCTGTTAATAAATTTCATCATTTAATGTCAAGTTCATTTATCTTGTAAACTTTCAATTTGTATGTGGTCCATCTGAATTTCTCATGACAATTGCTGAATTAATTTTAAGGTTGAGTATGTTTTTCCCTTATGACAGGTGCCACCCTAGAAATCATCACAGACAAGTCACAAGAAGGTGCCCAGTTTGTACGAGGATTTGGTGGAATTGGAGGTCAGACATGTCACAGTATTGTTATATTTATACTGTATAATTTTGGCGTCTTTTTCTTGCAAAGTGTCATCAATTCTAATGCATAAAGTCTCTTAAGCGCACAAATTTTGATGCAAGCCACATATTTTCCATTTTAATCAAACAGTCTGTAATTCTGTATTAATGGAAAGTGTTCAATGTGAATAATTTATGAGAACAAATTATTAATGAGAACCATATCATTTTTTTTTTCAGGAATATTACGGTATCAGATAGACTTTCAAGTGTTATCAGGGCAGGTGCTGGATGACCTGGATGATGATTTTGATCTAGATGACTACTGAAGGATTAGTCCATTCTCTTCAAAGGAACCAAATTTCACAACTGACCGACCTTGCACTCCCGCGGTGCAGGATGGGATATCGATCGTGGTTCAGTGAACGTAACATTACTGGCCTCAATTGGATGTCATATTGGGACACTGCCTCTTGCTGACGAAAAATGCTTCAGAATTTTCCAGCTATAAATTTAATGTATTTATTATTTCAGGTCTTCTTTGTTATTATTACCTAGATTTAAAAAAAAATGATGATGCAAGTCATGTTTCATGCTCATGTACAGTAAATGCAACTTTCACTGACCAGTGGCTAAGTGTATTGTATTATTTTTATTTTTACCAATATTTAAGTTGTATGTTGAATTTATGTTCATGTACATGTATGTTGATTTTGCAAAATATTTATGGTCTAGACGATGATGTTAAAATGTTAGGATGTATCTAAAAGGGTCTATTGAAGAGAAACACATGCAAGTTGATGACAACAGTACTCAATTTGCTAAGTTTTTATTCTTTTCCAAAATTTTTTTCCTAGTAATATTATTTTCAATGATAAGTCTCAGTCCTATTCTAAAAGTGCACAGTGTAGTTTAAAATTATGTATCTGATGCAATATTTTCATGCTGGCATTTATATATCCAAGCTGGCTTCATTGATTTTAAAGCACATTCAGTACATGTAACTATCCTTAGGAAAAGTAAAATATTAAGTAATTCTTATCATAAAATAGAACAATAAGAAATGGATGTTTTCTATAATTTTCTTGTTTGTTCAGTTGTAATTTATGATTTTGTTTTATTTAAAGTTGAAAATAAAAGGTGTTTATATTAGCACTGGCCTTGTGAAAGCATATCTATGTTCTTGATCTGATGTTATTACATGAATGAATGGAGATTGGTGTATTTGTCTGTCATAATGTGTGCTTCATTCCATATGATGGACCTGTGTTATGATGGTGACATTTTAAGAGGAATCTGAAATTTGATGATGCAGTGTGCTTATATGTACACTCTATCCACATGAATTACTATTTACTTTGTTATACATCTGTTAATAATTTTGTGAATTTGAGATACTGTATATTGTTATTTAAAATGCTTTGTTCAAAACTGTTGATAATGCAATATTTGCAATTTATTTACCAATTAATTTCAGTATGTCCACATCTTAAATTCACTCCTCTCCCCTCCCCTTCCCAACCCACTTTTTTGCAAGTCAAGCAATGACAACTTGACATGTACTGTATCACTTGTGAATTAGGAGTCTGAAACTGGATTTGTCACTGAGATTTGATTTACAGAATATATGGTATGGTTATTGAATGCTTTTACCAATTATTGTCATCTTGCTCTCAAATATTTTCATGCATTTATTTCGACTTCTGGTACACTCATTTATTTTACTCAATCTAAAATGTCCAAGACCACATTTTGATTAAATTCCATTGTATCCCCTGTATATGAAATGGAGAAAGAACGACTTGGTTATAATTTATTATCTAGCAGTTGGCATTATATCAAGTATAAATCAAAAACAATTATCTGAATTCTGAGACTTGTTTACTATGTGGATTAAAACATTGATTCATTACAGATTTTATACTACCTCATGTGTCTATTAAGTTTTGACTTAGATCACAGCATGAATACAAGATGTTGCATCTGCTGAGGAAATGATGGAAGTGTTTTAGTACAATGAAGAACTAGTTATTATGTATTTATGTCTTTGCTAATTGCTTTCTGAAATTGAGAATACATTGTCTGCTATGTTCAAAGAGAAATCAAACTTGGGGACTTGGTACCCAAGTGTTTTTTAAAGAAACACAGAATAAAACATGGTTGTCATGATTGTTTTCTTACATTTGTCAGACGGTTTTGACAGTGCATTTATAAAGACCATTTAAATATGAGTTATCTGGTTGCAAAAGAGTAGCTTGGAGGGTAATTGTCATTTATTTACAGAACATTGATATGTTCTTAGGATTAATTTTTCAATCCTCACGTCCAAGATGATAATGAAAAAAACTTTTAATGAGGAAAAGTAAATTGGAAAAGGTTAAGGTCATGGACAGATCACTTAATTTAAAGTTGTTGGATGGCTGGAAGAAGGATCGTAATGAACAATAGTAGTCGAAATGAAGTACAGTAGAACTCTGTTATAAGGAAGTTGCTTCCTTTAATTGAGATTCAATTTCAATTAGATGTACAAGTAATTTTCACATAATTTTTGCAAATCAACTGAATAACAATCTTTCAAAAATTCATACTCTGAAGGAGGAAAGCTTCTTTTGCAGAAACGGATTTTACATTTATCAATGGTGTAGGGAAAAATGGCACATTTTAAGTCATAGTATCACATGCATGTCATTTGTGCTTTAAAATACGACAAACAGCAATAGTTATTCTCAAAAATTTTGTTTTGAAAAAAGTACCTGATAATTAAAAGTCCATGCATGTTACATAATGAATAATTTACCATATTAGCAAATTGTTTACAAAGAACTATAAAAATAGGGTTAATTCTTTTGAAGTTGCCTTTTTTACACTAAAGAGTAACGCCTAATGTTGAAACTGGAGACGATTCTTAGGCGAAAAGCAAATGGTTTCGGTTAGGGTTAGCTTAGGGTTAGGGCTAGGTTATGAATTAGGGTTAGGCTGTAAGGGCTAGGTCTAGGGTTATGGTTAGGTGGCCAGGGTTAGGGTTAATATTAGTGTAATGGTTTTTGGGCCGTGGATATCGGCCTGGATAGCTCAGTTGGTAGAGCACCTGACTAGAGATGCACAGGTACCGGGTTCGATTCACGGTCCAGCCATCTTTAATAAGATTCAGTTCGATGTCCTGTGTTGCAAGTTGCAACTACTATTGAAATAACGACCACTATTGAAATAATTATTTCAATAGTGGTTGAGAGTACATCTTAATAACAAACAGGCTGCAACCATTTTTGAAATGATGTTCACTTTTGAAAAAAGATTTCAATAGTAATTGAAATAATGATTTCAAAAGTGATTCAGATAATGATTTTGATAGTTGCTGATAATTAATCCAGTACAAAAACCACATTGCAAGACTTATTGAAACAACTTAACCATGTGAATTATTCTTTCAAAAGAAGTTGACAATACAATTCAAAACAACACCACATTTTAATTACTACTGAAATGCATGTAACACCTACCATTGTAACAAACCGAATATTAACTTCCCTAGAAATTTTGCTTTTTGATATCTTGACGAGTAGACTTTGACTTTACTATCCGTATTTTAATGCAGGTAATCCCATGAATATGAGCGACAATTTAGTTCTATTCCATATTCTTTTTATTAAAAATAACCATCTTTTATCAGAAAGTTTGTACACAAAATTATTAGTACATGTATTCCTTCTTTTTTCTTCCATTTTAGTCCATGTATTCTAATTTAAATGATATCCTTTCCTTTCCAAATCAATGACAAAAATGAACTTTATATAACAAATTATTTCAAAATGCATATATCAATTGATTGTCTGTTGGTTTTCGCCGATTCGACCAGATTCAGCGAGAGCTTGCTTTTAACATTTGCATACAAGTTTGAATTATAGATACATATAGGTCAGTTCGATAAAAAGTTACCGTGTATTTGAAATTTCTACAAAAAAGGGAAAAAACAACTTTAGTTATCATATTTTTAACTCAATAAATTAGTTTCTTATGTAAGAAAGCAGAATGTGAAATTCATCCTTATATCTGTTTTAATAGTTGGGACACTTCTATGAAGCTTGCGATGTGGTTTTGGTATTGTACGTCAGCAATTATTAAAATAATTATTTTAATATCTATTGGAATCATTGTTTAAAGCACTATTGAAATCAAAATTTCAATCACTTTTGAAATTTATATTTTAATCACTATGGAAATCTTTATTTCAAAAATGAACATTATTTCAATAGTGGTTGCAACCTGTGATATTGAAATGCATTCTCAATCACTGTTGAAATAATTATTTCAATAGTGGTCGTATTTCAATAGTTATTGCAACCTATGTTTGTTATTAAAATGCACTCTCAACCACCATTAAAATAATTATTTGAAAAGTGGTCGTATTTCAATAGTGGTTGCAACCTATGTTTATTATTGAAATGCACTTTCAACCACTATATTGAAATAATTTTTTAAATAGTGGTCGTAGTTCAATAGTGGTTGCAACCTATGTTTATTATTAAAATGCACTCTCAACCACTATTGAAATAATTATTTCAGTACTGGTCGTTATTTCAACAGTGGTTGCAACAGTCCTGATATTGTCCAAAATAATGTAAAAAAATAGCAATGTTCCATTATGTATCGTATATTGACGTCCAGATATAGATAAACATCTTGGTATAGCTTACACTGTTCTAAATCCGATTAACAGTTTTGTTCATATTTACGAAAGGTATTACACTTTCATATCCTGATTGGAGTATATCCAAAAGAAATGAAATAAATATCTCAGTGTCCGGTAATCAGTATAAAAATGAAATTAAAAGGCAACACGTCTGAAGAAAACAATGAAAGCACTTACGTTTTAACAAGTGTTGCCTTTTTATTTCATTTTAATATATATATATATATATATATATATATATATATATATATATATATATATATATATATATATATATATATATATATATATATATATATATATATATACTCTGATTTATGGACTAGGGAGACCAGACCTTTATTTATGGCTTAAGGAGACAATATACATTTTTTTTAATTATGCATTTTTCTAAAGAGGAATACTGTAAAAAGTTTATGATTTTTATTCTGTTGATTAAAACAAATATATTAAACCCTATAGGTTTACATTCGTCCCCATGTACATGTAATTAGAAATTTCTGCAGTAAATCTCTTAGCTATAAACAAGAACATTTATTTCAAGATGCAGAAAGGACACAAATGATCGATACAGTTCCTTGTAACTTTAGAACGGAAACACAGAGATATGGTTCATTCGGATAATTGCAACGTGGTCATTGCGTGTTACTACTGTTTCTAGGATCTCTCTTCCTTCTTGTGTAAGTTTGCGTCAATGCTGTAAAATATGCCAATGATTAAGAATATGGTGAGTCATAAAGTTTTAGTATATATGTATATCTAAATACGGAAATATATACACAAGTTCATTATTTTCACTCATATTAGATGTGTATAAAGGAATGGATACTGTATATACCAGGATAATGCAAGTTGTTACGCATTATCAGTTGAACGAAAGCACTCCCAGCGATTATAAAATGTCTCCAGTATACAGGTACCGTGTATATTCTATTTAAGTTCATTGTCACAGTTTATACTTTCGCATATCGGAATTTTAATTTAACTACAATATTGAAAAATCTGTGAAATGCTGCAACAGAAATCAATTATATCATTAGTTTCCAACGTTTTCTTCATTTGTTAACATCGTCTAAATGACTGCTATCAATTGTCGTATTCCTCATTTCCACGAATCAATTCAGGATCAGTATAAACGTATATGACGGACCCACCGACACTGGGTCAGACGTTTTCTCCGCTCTTTGTATCAGACCAACGTCACATATAAATATGCTTCAAATGTAGTCCACGATAAAATCTAATGTTTCTATGATGATTGTTGCAATATTGTCAGAATTACATGTAAGATCGAAACTTCGATTTAGTCAATTTTCAAATTCCATAAAAATGAGACAACGAACGTGAAGTTAACTTCATACAACATTTTCTCCTGTCTTGCCATGTTTTCTTTTCAAGTTTGACATATTGATGTACTTCGCTAAATTTATTTTATATTAAATTTAAATTTATTTCGCTACTTCGCTGGTCACGGCACCAATTTGACTTTTTATAAGTTAATGACAATTAGGTAAATAGTCTTTTCAAAGATTTTATTTTAAAGTACTGAAAATCTTAGATAGAACTGATCGTATAGTGGACCCTGATCGTAAAGTGACTCCTGATCGTATAGAGTCTCTCCCTCTTCGAACGTTGCTCCGAAGAGCTCCGCTCCGAGATGTGCGGTC